AGGCTCAAGCGTGAAGATAAGGTGACGTACCTCGAAATTGGCTTAGACCGTCGCCTTTGTTGGAAAGGACAAATTGATCGAGTTTATGGATCAGCAAGAACAAAACTTGACAAAATGCACTGGCTCCTTCGTTCAGGTAGCGACCTATCCCTTGAAGCCAAGATGCGGCTCTTTAAGGCCATTGTCCACCCAACTGGGGAGACACTTGTTGGGGCACGGTCACTAAAAAGGATACAAACGTGCATTACAAGGGCTCTCAGATGGATGCTGGGGGTGAAGTGGCACCATTATGTAGAAAACCGAGTTATGTTCAAGGACACGGGTGTGCCGACGATAACGGAGACGATTTGTAAATCCTCAAGTCGATACCGGGAACGTCTGCTTACACATCCAAACTGTCTGGCAAGACATCTTCTTCATCCTTGAGTGGCGTATTCAACAATAAATATAAAAAAGTAACATTAATTACTTCTATTTCATTATTCTTCTCATTTTAATAGTTACTTATTCCTCAATTTTCCACTCCATTGCACTCACTTCCACTTTTTGTTCGAACGGAGTCGTCGTCTCTACAAAGTCATGCCTGTCTAAGGGGTTTTGCTGGGGGACAGTCGAGGGAATCTACTGAAGCAGTAACTGTCATGCTTGTCTAAATCTGCTGAGTCGGTAACTCGTTGCTTTTGGAAGGCGAGCTTTCATAGTTGAAATAATTTTTTATCCGGCTTTGACTGGTCCGAACTTTATTCATTTACTAACAGGACCGAGGCCGTTAATATCTTTTGTAATGCATTAAATTTCTTTTCTTATATGTGTGTTTCATTATACTATCCGCCAATTTCCAATAAACTTTCATAATTAAATAAATAAAACCAGACTTTTCAATAAATTTAAAATGTGCCGATTATATTGCTTTTTTTAACTAAGGGCTTAGTCAGATTTTACCTTATCATTGGAAACATCTCACTTACACATTGGAAACTTCTCACATTCCTTTTTTTTTGGAATGATTCATTTCTCAATCCCCTTCACAAGTAGGAAAATATATCTAATAAAAGCAATTAAAGAGTTAAATCCAATTTCTTTGTCGATTAATTATATCTTGATGTCAACATAGATTTATAAGGTAAATGTCTTCGACGACAACCCTCTTGGAGCTTCAGAAATAATATTCAGACTGATGTAACTTACACTGATTTTATTAAACCGTTTGACTTTGTAAAGCAAACGTAATAAAGCTAGACTTATTAGGTTTTCCATGTGATCTTCTAAACATTGATCTTATGTTATCTATGTGGTAGGACTCAACCAGTCCTCATTAAAATCTATCTCTAATTTGACCCGACTTACTTCAGGCGACCCACAAGGGAGCCACCTTGTATCACTTTTCTATACATGATTTATTAAGGATTTCCCTCTAGTCAGTGTAAGTTAATTAAAAATCAGGTTGGCTTCTCCAGTACCGATAAAACTAGCTTGGTAACGGTCCAGACCTGCTGTTGACTTTTCCTTTTGAGGGAGTCTGTTCGTATTTTTTTGTAAAATTTAATAAAAAGGACCAGAGATTTAAATGAAAACTTAACATAAGGTGTCTGCATTATATTTTGTATCTGGAACCTGTTTACTTTTCATTTGTAAAAATTTTGGAAACAAATTTCCTTTGAAAATGCGAAATCCTTGCGTGCCCAGTCAAATGGACAACTGCCAAGGAAGAAGCGTTCGATGTTCAGGCACTTTTTGCCGGCATAAGCGTGCCGTATGCGGGCGTAGTTATTGGTTAGCTTCTTTCCTCTCTAACATAACAAGATTCAATGTAATTGGGCCTGAAAAAATAATAGAGTCAAGAAACACGTTTTTGTTTTTGTTTTTTCGGGCGGAGTCCCACGGCCCACTTACCCGCCCAACCGACCAAGGGGCGCAGCCGTGTATCGTACGGCACGATTCGCGAGAAGATAGACGCAAGATAAAGAAATATAGGTAAAAGTCCGGGGAAAAAGGTAATAGTAAGATCAATTTTGTGGCAATGAAGCTGGTATTAATCGTTTTAGGAGCGGCAGAGAGTCAAGATTTGAGATTATAGGAAAAAGTCTATTATAGGCAGAACACAATAATCTGAAAGGCTCATGCAAGGCATAGTTAGATCTACAATGATTTAATATTAGGGGAATATAATTTCTAGTTAATCTACTTGGCACAGAAAAGCTTAGCTGACTTAAGGTTATTAATGAAGACAGTACCAAGCATCGTTCTACGGTTGGCTAGGGAGGGTAAATTAATCAACAGAAGGGTAAATTAATCAATAAGAAGGTAAGTTGAGATTTGCATCCCAGTAAAGCAAAAAGAAGAAAGTTTTTTTGTACTGATTCAATACGACCAATATGTTTTCCGTATTGCGTGCTCCAGACGGGAGACCCATACTCCAGAATCGGACGGACTAACGAAATAAATAAAGTTTTAGTTAAATAAGGATCATCGAATTCTTTTGACCACCATTTAATAAATCCAAGCACTCCTCTGGCTTTATGGACGAAATGTGGTTTGAAAATTTTAGTTTAGGGTCCAAAGGAACGCCAAGATCGTTTACAAGATTTATTCTATCCCAAGAGCTGCCCCTTAATGTGTAAGTCGCGTATATCGGATTGACCCGAAAAAAAGTCATCAGCTTGCTCTTGGATGCGTTTAAATTTAGTAAATTATCTGGGCACCAGTTTTGAAATGATCTAAATCGGATTGCAAATCTAAATGGCAGGAAATGTCCTTATACTGCAGCCACAACTTAACATTCTGCGTACATAAGTACGCGAGAATGACTTATAATTGGGGGAAGATCGTTAATAAACAATGTAAAAAGTAACGGACCCAGATGGCTCCCTTGTGGGACACCGGAGGTAACACGGAGAATTTCACAAATTGAATTTTTAAAAAGGACCCTTTCTGACCTGCCATTCAGATAACTTACAGTCCATTTAAGCAGATCAACTGAAAAACCTAACAGGTGAAGTTTTTGAACAAGAAGTAAGTGATTTACTGAGTCAAATGCTTTACTAAAGTCAGTGTAAATGACGTCTGTTTGAAAACTACTATTGAAGCCTTTTATCACAAATGTAGTGAGCTCTAGAAGCTTTGTGATTGTAAAAATACGTTTAATAAATCCGTGTTGACACGGAGAAATGATTGATCTACAAAGATGCTGCAAATGAGGAGTAATGATTTTTTCAAAGAGCTTAGGAATAGCTGACAACTTAGAAATACCTCTGTAGTTACTGGCGTCTAACTTGTTACCTTTTTTGAAAAGAGGAATATCGAAAGATTCCTTGCAAATATTTGGGAATTGGGAAGTTTCTAGAGATAAGGTAAACAACTTGTGAAGAGGTTTGCACAGGGCCTTAGCGCAATACCTAAACACGCACCCAGGAATACCATCTGGACCTTGCGAATAAACAGGCTTTATACGAAGAAGGTCCAAAAGAAGAGAGCTTTCTGTTAAAGTGGGACAGAATATGTGGTTTGATTTGTACACTGACCACCAGAACCCTTGTTCGAAATACGATCGGAAGCGTGTGGCTGGATTCTCACTATTCCACAGTTAATAGGCCGTTGAACCAGCGCAAGTCACGCAAACTGAAACCAGTAATGTCAATGTCGTTCGTCAAAGTTTGTTTATGTTATTCTTCTCATTCCCACTCGCCAACGTAAATAAAACTTGGTTAATTTTAATGGTGGTTCGTAACTGTTATATTGTTGAATTCAAAAAAATAATAAAAGTTAAAATAATTAAGTTAAAATCACGAACTTAATAAAGCAAAGTTGTGTTTTTGCGAAAGGCGTCGAGTTAACCACCTCAAAGGCGCACCCTTCATATGCCAGGAATGGTACCTCCCTAAGCACTGTAAAAAAAAGTCGTAATCTTAATGTGAAATAAAAAAAAATTGTTCGTCCAAGACTAGCTCAGTGTAAGAAAGACAATTTGGAAATTTAAATATTGAGCTTTAACACTACGCACTACATACGAATATGTTTGTGAGATATATGAGATACAAACAAAAACGTAATTTACGGATAAGTATCAAATCAAAAAAAAATGTTTACTTTAAAAATTATTTTGCTAACTTGATACGATGAAATGATTATTTTATTTAAATAACAAAAAAAAAACAGGCTTTAAAATGTCCTAATTAAAAACTTCAAAAAATGTATTCACAAAAAACTCAACCCAAAAAAATTCGAGTCGATCTAGCCATGCCCGTCTGTCCGATTCAACGCAAACTGGTCCCGCAGTTTTAAAGCTAACATATTTGGATAAAATTCAGCAAAAACTGTTTTTTCTTTTGCAGATAGTATATTATTTAGAACAGTCTGGATAGGCCTACAATCATATACATAGGTACCTAAGAACAGCCGGGAAAGAGGGTTATATAAATTCTTCGTTGTTCTTAATTTATAAGTTAACACGATTAATGAGTAACTTTTAAGTCGATAGGAATCTTGGATCTCCCTAGGGTTTTATGTGCAGATTTCTGAACATATACCCATATACTCCGAAATATAGTCATTTTTAACTATTTCAGAACTTAATAGAGTTGGCTAAATTTTTTTAGGCATGGAAATTATTTTCTATCTGCTGCAGAGGTGTATAATCCATTTGGCAAATATGGCTGATAAGTCTATCCAAACTTTTTTCCCAATTAATAGATAACAAATAACCAGGTTTGCAGTCTTTGTAATAGTACAATTTTTTTCGAAACGCCTATTATACATTAATAAAATTCATTTCGATGTTGTTTGTAATGATGTTTTTGCCATTAAATGGTCTTACGTTTTATCACATATGAGTTAACGCTGTAAGAGGCCAGCTTATCGATGCCTAATTTGCCGCCTTAAAGATAGCATATAAAGCAGTATTGAAAGCTATTTATATTTCTGAGCTGTGGCTTAAATAAAAAAAGAGAAATAATGCAAATATGTAGTAATAAAAACATGTTCTAATTTTTACTTAGGGAATTGTTAAAGCTGACATGGATCTTTCTTCATATCACGTAATATCAGAGGTTCGATTACCGAAGGAAGTTTTGCCTCTCTACTATGAAGTCAACATGGAACCTAATATAGAAAACCAAAATTTTAAGGGAATAGTAAAAATTCACCTGCAATGTCTGCTAGATTCAAAAAAGGTACATTTTCACGCACATGGTAACTTATTGATTGACAACAGAACAATCAAACTAAGCAGATTAAGCACAGAAAATTTGTAAGTATTCTTTTTAGGTGCATTTATTTATTTTGATTAAAATGAATCTTGAAAATAGGACCGCAATCGAAAACATTACAATTTCAAGGGGAAGCCGACTTCCTCGAACGGCAATATATGTTTTATACCTACAAGATAAAGTTAAAAGAGAATCTGAATACCTTCTTGAAATTGCTTTTAAAGGAAATATTTTGGTAGCTGGCGAAGGACTCTTCGGAAGCTATTATACCAATTCGTCAAATGAAGACCGAGAGGTATATTTAGCTACAAACTTGAAGCCTAACAATGCACGTCGACTGTTTCCCTGCTTCGATGAACCTGGAATAAAGGTTTTAATACGTTAATCAAATTAAAATGTATTTAAATACTTTACGCTTACTTTATTTTCGAACCCAGGTTCCATTCAACGTTTCGATTTCTAGACCAAAGGGATACATAACACTTTTCAATACGCCATTGCTTCGTACAATACAGCAGTAAGTAATTCTTAAGTTATATACTTTATTCCCTTAGTTTTAGGTAACATTATTCACTGTTAACCTTTTTCCAAATGTTACATTCTATAGCAACCCTTGATTGCCTAACTAAATTTCACCTCTTCAATCATTATCTTTCGTTCAAATCATGAACGTCTCCAATTACATCTTACTTACTTAGTAATTTGTATTGAATCATAAAATTAATCACCGAAGGACCGAAGCCGATTTTCCAGGTGTGTGTGTAACATTCTGGCTTGCTTTATTCAGTTGAACAGTTTTTAGGCTTTTCACTAGAGATCAATAAATATTTTCGACCTTAATTTTCTTATAATTATAATTCTCACTTATTAATTAATTGCCATTCCTATCATATATCACCAGTTATTAGTTCATAAGGACTTTGGTATAGCCAAACGCAAAAATCTCTATTAAAACCCCGATAACGCTTGTTTACAAAATTAAACGACAACTTACTTATAATATAAAATAAAGATAGCAGATGCTGATCGCAGAGGCTCGTGCTCTTTTTCGATTTCTGTGCTGTATCTGGAGCTTTGCTTTGCTTTAAAAAAGCCCACGAATGCGATCATCTGTCATCGCGTGGATCCTGTATTTTGATTCCTCTTTTCGGATAAGGAATAAGGATAAACAACGGAGCAGAGCCATTAACGGATAATATTTTGATGGTTGATAAATTGCTAACTAAACGAATAGTTTTGATCGTCAATAAAAAAATTTACCGACTGAGGCTGTCCCAGTCGTCTGCATGGGCAAAGTGGCTACGAGTTTAAGAAGGCTTCAATCCTGATTTGCAGCAGGTGTGCTTATAGCTAACAACAATTCTCTCAAAGTCTCACAAAGGCCTCCGAATCGGTGGAGTACGGCAGAATAAAATGCCATGACGGAAAAAGCCGTCGAAATCAATTTGGCGTACGAATATTAATGACTTGTTAGCGCTAACGAAGTTTGTTTTGTGGTCACAAGCGTAAAATACTAGCAGAAGGTCCGTTAAAATGGATTGCCTTCTTAGCCAAAAAGATTAACAACCTAAGTATCCTTTGTAGGTACCGCGCAGCATTGATCGCTTGATTTTGATAGCCCCGTTATAATTGACTCAACCCCACTAAAGGCGATTCGGTGGGTTGACCCTGTATGTAGACAGATCGCTGGCTTTCTGGGTAGCAAATGGATATTAATAGATACCATGCTTTCCTTGTTTCCATTGTTTGCGGTCTTTGGATCTCTTCTTAAAGAGGGATTCTCACCGTAGCTTTCGTCAGTGTAAGGTTCGGATATGAGTGAATGAATTTTTGTTTTTAGAAAAATGCTGTCATAAAAATCTTCTGGGTAGCGTGAGAATGGATCTATATAGATTTACCCTTTATGGAATGGTCATTAAACTTTAAGTTCTGCTTTTCCTTGTTTCAATTGTTTGCGATCTTAGCATCTTTTCTTAAAAAGGGATTCACACTTGGAATTGCTTCAGGATATCAGGAGAAGTTCTTCAGAAGAGATTCGGAGTCTAGTGCGTGGATGGACTCTTTGATTTTACCCATTAGAATCCAACATAGATTATAGTTGAAAAATCAGTGAGTTTGGTCAGAAATAAGAAAGAGTTGAGTTGCGTATATGTGGACTGTATTAATTTTATTCTTGCCAGTTGCGAAGCCTATTTGACACTGAATTGAATTTCGCAATATGACGCCGTCTTAGCGGCGTTGCCAGAAACCGAAAAGATATTACATACATGTTTTCTTGTACATAGATTAAAAATAGAATAGAATATATTAGCAAGCGTTCACTGAACATCTTGGCCCGCCCTGAATCACAGTTTCTGAATGGGGCAATAAGGACCTTTCCAGGAAGGGTCAGACCATCGTCTCCTGTCAGGTCGTCAATTTGACTGCCCGAACGAGGATGACCCGGATAGGTTTCAGAAACCCATCAGCGATGTGCCAAGATGTCAGTGGTGAATTGGACCCTTTCGAGCACAATCATCACCGGTTGAGATGTTGGGTGTTAAAATAGTCCATTTTGGACGTTGCTGCAGAGTAGTCAGATACTCCTGATGCCATTTTCTCCAGAATCCTTGAATCCTGGATGCTTTGCCAATATCCTAATCGGCCCACTGGGGTGTGACTCAAATCGGGATCTGGCACTGTTGTTAATGGTCGCCCCATTGAGAAGTGAGCGGGTGATAGGCAGTTGGTTTCCGTATCCGGTGTGTAGCACAAGGGGCGTGAATTTATCACTGCGCTTATTTGAGCAAGAAGTGTGCGCATCTGTGAGCGTTGAGTTTCCGGTAATTCTGCGAAGATGCAGCTTGACACAACGAACTGCAGACTCCCATTTCCCTCCCCAGTGAGGGGCTCTCGGTGGAATAAGTACCCATTGGATACCATCATCCGCTAGTGTGCTAGACTCGGTGTCCTTGTGTGTTTGTGAAGAAAGAAATTCTTGCATCTCGTCGAGGGATCGCTTAGCTCCAATAAAGTTTGTGCCATTGACACTGTAGATCTTACTGCACTTGCCACGTACCGATATAAAGCGCCGCAAGGCAGCCAAGAAGGATTCTGTCGTCAAATCTGTGGCAAGTTCCAGGTGGATGGCCGAGGTGACCTTACAAACAAATAGGCATATGTAGCCCTTGCTGATACGTGGCTTCCGAACCTTTGCATCCTTCAGAAGTATTGGACCTGCATAGTCGCAACCAGTATATATAAATGGAAGCGCTTGTGTAATGCGTACGCTGGGTAAATATGCCATTTGTTGCTGGGATGTGTGGTAGCATTGACGAAAGCAAGCTAAACAGTCGTGTGTTATTTTGCGAATTTGATTACGTGCTCCAAATATCCATAATTTTTGCCGAACAATAACAAAAAGTGAGGAAACGCCAGGAAGGAGGTTCACTCGGTGCTCGTGTTCCAGAATCAGCTTTAAGATGCGGTGTGTTTTTGGTAGCAATACTGGGTGTTTTGCATCGTTTGAGAACTGCGATTGGTGCAGTCGTCCGCCTACCCTCAGCAAATCGTTTACGTCGATTATGGGTGCCAGTTTGATCAGCTGTGATCGGTTCCTTAAGGGTTTTTTACCGAGGAGCAATTGGTAATCGTCTTTGAAATAACCTGGTGCTTGTTTTATGCACAGAATCCTTGCCTCCTTAATCTCGTCAAATGTGAGAGCACTAGATACCCTTTTGCGAGATAGGATTCGTGTACGTTGAATGAATCGCTTTACGTAGCCGACAATGTGGACGAGCTTGATCCAAGAAGACACTCGCTCGGTTAGTTCATCAAGTGGATGAACCGGGGTTGCTTCAGCCAGTGTGGCCAAACAGTTGGATTTGACTTCTCCTTGAATGCGTTTGTCTGTAAGATTTAAACCGAAACGTGAGTCGTTTAACTTTACCAGATACTGCACCTTGTCCCGTAGCCATAAAGACCCATTCCACCACAAATGGAAGTCGATGAGATCAGCAGCCATCAGTCCCCTGGACGCACAGCCCGCTGGGTTTGTTTTGGAATCTACGTGATGCCAAGCACTCCTTGGAATAGTGTCAAGGATTTCCCAGGTTCTGTTTCCAACAAATGTCTTGAGTTGGGCTGGCGTATACGATAACCAGGTGAGCACTATTGATGAGTCGGACCAGCGTTTGAGCGCTCCTTCTAGAGTTTCTCCGAAATCGGGGTTTTGAATGGAAGATCCACGATATACCTCCCGTTTTCATTGCAACAGTGAGTGGCGAGAAAGTACTTCTCGACCTGATCATCCTCCGGATCCAGTTTTGAGCTGCTTTGAACGTTTTCCAATTCCCAAAACTTCTGAAGCGTGGCGCCTATGTCTACTATTGTAGTCAGTGCAATAGCGTTGCTTGGATTTGATGTGATGAGTGAGGGTATTACCCATCCGAACACCGAAGAAATGGCGATAAGATTACCCTTGTTGTCGTACATCTTTCGTCCTGTAAACACCGACCATTCGCTTCCTAATAAAATGTCAACAGTTGAGTTTGTGTTGAATTCTGTATCCGCCAACTGCAGATCCTTGAATGCCTCGAGTGCCGATGCATCGATGTTTTGGCGTTCCAGCGAAGAAGTAATTCCAAATGATCCTCGGAGATACGAGACTTGATATGCAAGGTGCTGCATCCCCTTGTCGTGTCTGCTTTAACCGAAGAGATTCCCGTAACCAAGATGCGTGATGCCGAACGTGTCGATCCGAGAGCTTGAATGCAACGCTCGGATACGTAGGAAAGCTCTGAGCCTGTGTCCAATAAGTGACGGCATGTTACGTGGTCACCTTTTGCGTTTTGAACATAAACCATGGCAGTTGGTAATATGCTTCGCTTAATTTCCGTTGTCTGTGGAGATTTTGCAGTGCCCTGTGCACATACAACCGATTGAGTGCCCTCTCCTTGGGCGAAATGACTGTTGGACGCACCTATGTTTTGCTCGTCCTCCCCTGCTATCTGGGCAAGATTCCCAATAGCCTGTGTAATCGCTTGGACATGTAGAAGGGAGTGATGATTTCCCCTGCATTGCCTACATTTGTATGTCGACTTCCACTTGCTGACTCCATGACCAGGTCGCCAGCAGTTGTAGCACAGTGAATTCTCCTTTACGAAGAATCGCCTCTGCATCCCAGACATATCCAAGAACAGCTGGCAGTTATACAGAGTGTGTTCTGTTGAATTACATTTGGTGCAGCCTCTGCCTTCGACCGCAACCATCGATTGTGTGACCCTTTTTGGTTTTTTTGCATGTGTTGTTGTCTTACTACAAGTCGCAAGCTCCCTTTTACTCAGTTGCAGTTCCTCGCAACGAGAATCCAGAAATTTGAAGAATTCCTCGAGAGTGGGGGAATCTGTGTCCATGCTGCGCTCATTCCACCTACGCCGCGTGTCGGCATCAAGTTTCTCCAGGGCCAGATAGATGATCCAGCAATCGCGTCCCATCTGGTTGACTGCGTCCAATCCGCGAATAATTTCGTTTGCTCCG